CTAGACCAAAAATGCACTGAAAATCTGCGTGAACCTGAAACGTCACTCTGGATGAAACTTTGAAATGATGTCAAAAGGTGGTTGGGGTCAAGGCTCTCGCACTGTGCACACATTTCATGCTCCGATTAATCCGAGGCTAGGTGTTTTTTCTTCCGAATAAACTAGAAAAGACCGGGCATGCATTTTTCAACCCTCACTAACACATCCTATGTTAGGAGGATATCCTCTTATGTCAGAAAACTCTCGCAGAACTACTTTTGAACCAGGAAATCCAAGATTTCGGTATTGCATATCGCAGTATGGAAAAATGTGGAAGGAATGAAACAACCCGGTTTCAGAAAACTGATGTTCGAATAGGAGATCTGAAGCGATGCAATACAAATAGCGCGGCGAGTCAAATAAGCAGCTGATCGGCAATAAACCAGCCACCGACAACGTATCCTTTTACCACGGAAGTTTTAAAGCCTTGAACCAATGTGTATCGGTGACAGCCTTCAGACCCAGACTAGATTTCGCACTTTCCACGTGTCCAGCTTACTTAACAGGGCATACTGTTTTCAACGTTTACTTTAAAATACCTCTTATGTGGCAACCTCAAGCGAGAGCATGAGCCAGGAGCACGGATTTTACACATTACGCATGCCTGTGGACCACGACAGGAGTAGAGGTCTGATCAGATGGTGATCTAGTGTTTGCATTGGCAGTGTGAACTGTTCCATGTGCTCAAAGTCTGTTTGAAAAGCACTAAGCCATGTTTTCAACTGCCCTCCCATAGAATAGCACCAAGCTGGACAATGCCCACAAACTACGACAACGATGTACGGTTGATCCTCTATCTCGCTTTCCAAAACAAAGTTAAAATCAATAAGCCAAATTTAATGATCTGTGTGACGAAATATTTTGCATTCTGTAGGAGGTAGATTGAAGTATTCCATTAGAATGACTGATATAACCTATCATATAAAAACAACCGAAATGTAGACTACAGAGGTGAATAAAATAGCTATATGGCTGTCCTAACTTTTTATACGTTATATATCATTATACGAGACCATCGATCCAACATGATGATATAACTGATTGGGAGTATACACAACGTGGCACAACCCATCTACTGAGTGGGACAAAATATTCCTCAGTTAAAAATACATTCAGATAACAC